AGAACCCCGGGTTCACGTTTACGGGGATCACGACAGGGAATCCGATTGATTGGGTCCGTTCTACCCCCCTAATCCCAAAATGTTGGGTGGGAGGAGTAAGATGCTAACCTTGGTGATTGTTTATGGTGCGGTACAGGCTATGAGAAAATTCCCTATGATGGGCTTCGACATCGCCCGCGCGGCGGCTATCATCTACGACTCGGGCACGGAGAGGTTCTCCGGTACCACTCTGGCGGGGATCGGGCAGGCGGTGGTTGGGGTGCTCCTGCATCCGGAGGAGACGGCGAACCGCTTCGTCAAGGTTCTCTCGATTGTCACGAATCAGAATGAGCTGCTGGGGGCCTTTCAGCGCGCTAGTACGGGTCGGCAGTGGACGGTGCAGCGCGACTCAGCGCAGCGGTTGATGGAGAGTGGGCACCGGAAGTTTCAGGAGGGAAATGGTATGTGGAGGCTGGAGTTGGTGGTCGCGCAGATGTTCGACAAAGGGCAGGCCCGGTGCGTCGTGGCGCCTTCATGGTCGGAATCGGACTCGCCCTTGTTGGGGGTGGTAGAAGAGAGTGCAGATGAGGTGGTGGCTAAGGTGCTGCAGGGGTAGATTTGAATCAATGAAAGAATAGGATGCTTTATGGGTCTGCATTTTTAAATGCTACGTAGTTTACTCCGTGCCTTGACCCATATGGTGCCTTGTCATCCCCCACCGTAACATCGATCGAACTTTAGAGTTCGTGCGAGACGAGCCCACGAATGAGATGCCGAGATACTGGAAGCCCTAGGGGATCTAGACTCTGGACGTGGGTGCGAGTGGAGGCCATTCACGGTGGCGTTCGGGCTAAGACGTCCTGCCCTGCCCTAAGTGGGCCAACCGTGGAGCTTTCATCTCCCGATGTTAGTATAGTACGTACGTATAGTACGGAGGGGTGCTGGGTGCTGGGTGCTGGGTCCTGTATTCAGTCTCAAGTTGAAATCACAGTCTCAGGGAAGGGACATAATGGCATTTATTCCATTGCACTAAACTCTTCATGCGAACGGTCAAGGGTACATACATGGACGGAAGCCCTGGTAAGATGCAAACAAACCCCGCCACCGTCGCCTCCACGATCTTTTTTCTGCAGCCTCATCACTTCGAGTAGCTGAATATGAACCAGTAATATTCAGGGTCTTGGAGAGAGTCGATATGTGTACCAATGCAACCCTCCGGACTGTGCAGCCACGCCGCTGCCCTGATAGCGTTACCTTCTTTGTCGAACTGGTCAATGAAGACCTCGTCGCCCTCTTGCACGTACACCGATTTGTTCCCCGCTTTGTTGCTGGTAAATTGGAAGGTGGTGGCGTTCTCCCGCGTGCCGGCCCAGATCAGGGAGGTGTTCAGATAGCCCTGGAGAACGGGGCTGGCACCAAGCCAGACGTCCCCGTCTCCGCTGTTGTAGATACGATAGGGGTAGTTATATTTGACCTGATTCTTGCCGTTGGTCTCGGTGCTCTCGACGTTGATGCAGAGCTTCTGATTGCTGTTGGAGCTGCTGTCCGTCTGCACCTCCAGCGGGACTCCCTCGGCAACGGCCTCAGAGAGCTCGTTCAAGTATCTCCGGCGTTCTTCGGTGATCACGTTGGTCTTGGTGCGTTTGAAAATCTCCTCCCCTGTGAGCGTTGCCACGCGTCCAGCGTACATTAGCCCAGACACTCGAATATCCGATAGGATGGTGAGAAAGAGGAGTTTGGCAACATACGGTACCGCGGTCCCTGTTGGCTTGGCTTGATGGTGACCGTCTTCCCATGCCAGCGGTGAATCAATTTGAACTTGACCGCGACCTGAGAGCTGGTCGGTTTGGTCTGACTGCCCGTACGGAGAATGTCCGCGAATTTCTGCTTGATGTCCTGGCACCCTGGGATGCTGGCAATCACATCCTCGAGGGCAAGCACCCGGGATTGCTGTGCTCAGAATGTTAGAGAGACTCGCTTCATAGTGGAAAGGACTTGGACTACCGACCTTGACAGCTCGCCAATTGTAGAAGGAACCAACGGTATAGGCCCATGCAGGGGGACTGTATAGAGTGGACGTGAATCATTAGCGACTCGAACACCGTATGAGCGGGAAGGGGAACAGAGACAGGAATCAACGCACTCATTACACAGGAGAGTATCACCGCCTTTGGCCTCCCAGGAGATGGACTTGGTGGCCGAGGCAGCCGAGTTCTGCGAGCTCGAATCCGAGGATTGGCCGTAGCTTGCTTTGGCCGAGGCCTGCACATACGCAGACGAAAAGGAGAGGGCCGCGGCGGCTCGCATGGACTTCGCTTGTTCATCTTTGTCGGCGGTGCTGGTGGAGCTCGATTTCTCCGAGGAGTGCAGTCTCCCTCCCAGCTCGATGCGGGTGGGATAGAAGCGGCCATACTTGTTCTTGAAGCTGTCGACGTCGGCGGCAGTGCTCACGGCTGCCAAGTCGAATTTGCACTCCTCGGAGAGCTCGAGGCTCGAGGCGTCGAGTTCCAGAACCACGCGAGGAAACTGTTCCGGGCAGCAGGATGAGCAAATGGACTTGCATGTCACGCTTCCATGGAACTGTAGGAGCTTACGCACGTTGTAGGTAATAGTCATGACTCGACTGTCCTCACTTGAGGTCTCAGAGCTAGAAGAGGACTTATCTTCCCCATAGCTAGCGGAGGCACTGGCACTGAACCCGAACGCACCGCCCTCTCTGTAGACGTGTTGCATCAGTATCGCCTGGATGAGCGTAGAGATGGGGACAAGGCATACATAGCCAATTCAGCTGCGAGCTGAGACAGGGAGCTCTGGGCAATCGCCCGCGAGACCGAGCTGGTCTTCTCAAACTGTTCAATGTAGGAATCGTCCTCAATCCGATATCGAGGGACTCTCAGCATTTGCTGGCCATGCGAAGTCAGTGAAAACCAGCCATGCCTGCTCAAATATGACCTACCTCCTTCTTGGCAATCGAATCCGAGGCCGCACTGGCCGAAATCTCGTAGTTTTGGAACAAGCGTGTCTTGAGAGCGAAGGCTTGCAGACTTCATCAGTATATAAGACAGGGATCGGGTAGGTGAGACTCGATCGTGCTACCTGGATGCATGGAACGCTCCACTATCTTCCCAATCGTCTTGCCCGCGTCGACCACTCGATAGGCGTTCAGCAAGGCGTTGTTGCGCAGGACGACATTCCACTGCGTCTCCGACATATCTGCAGGATGACTGACAGTGCGGCCATGAGTAAGCGCAAGGGCATCCCTTGGGTAGGTCATCTTACACGATGGAGAAGGTAGTTGTGGGGTTCAGGAAGATATTGTGGCTGAAGCTGGTGGGCAGCTCGGCAGCCTTGGGCTTCGAAGCCACGGGCAGATCAGGAGTCTTCTTCTGATGAAAGGGTCAGCCACGATGCGGTCAGGTATGTTGCCGATGGACTCACATCAATGCTAGCTCTCACACCGCGATCAAAGAGGCTACGCGCGTATTCATAGTCAATGAGCTTCTCTGACTTGAGATAGACTCGATAGACATCGCTGTTGTCTTCCGCAATGTCCTTGATAGAGATCAATATAGGAACATGGCAAGGCTACGTCGGCTGGAACTTACCCCAACCTCGCTCGACTATGTCCCGAGTAAGTTAGAGATTGCGTGGGCACCGGAGAGAGGTGCTACTCACTTTCTCGTTCAGGATCGCAAGGTACGCATTGTAGTCGGTGGAATCCAAGACCTTAGCCCCACGCTGATTGCAGAACGAGCTCCATAGCCTGTAGGACGAAGGTGAATGGATGTTGTTGACTTTGTCTCGGTGCGGGCACTTACAATGTCGGCTCCAAGACCTTTTCGCTAACCAGGAGGTCTCGAACATCAGACAGTTTAATTATATTCACATCCAGACTCTTGAACGAAATGCATGATTTCTCCTCGATGGCTCTGGTTTGATCACTGTACGAATAGACATGAAGGACCTGTTGTGGCTGGCTGGCAAGACCTGATAGAGGTCAGTACTTGCGAGGTCTGTCGAATCAATGGCCCAAGGTTGGCCAAGCGGAGAGATCGTACCGTCCAGGAGCTGCTCCACCGCCTTGCTGATATCAATCACAGTAGCTGCTGTGTCTTGCACGGCTTTTGTGGCTGCGCCTTGGACTGCCTCTTGGACTGGGTTCTTCAACAAAGAGCTCATCTTGGAGGGGAAGGCTTTGCTGTGGCGTTTCCTGTTACTCAGTTGTCTTTAGATGTCAATTGAGTCTAGATCTGATGCTGGTGGTTGAACATAGGTTCTTGAGCCTTGGGGGATGAGGGCAGCTTTATAGACAAGCCATCTATGTCCTTCCGTTGACTGGGAGAAGTCCTGGCCCGCAAAGATAGATGAATCAGAATGGCGTGACCGAGGGACCAAACCTCATGATAAGTATCAACTGTACTCCGCCTGATGTAGTAGTTCGAGACGTCACTCTGCAGTGGGATAGGTGAGCAAACAGGTTAGGGTGTCTTGCAAAACCGCTCGAATGAGGGGAACAAGAGTAGCACAAACCATCTTTCCTCCACCACACACTCCTCTGGGCCAGCCAGAAACAGGAAAACAATCAGACAAGCCTGCTAGTGAGGGTGTGATCGACCGATTTTCCGGATGATCCCCGAAGTTGGGCTGGTCTGGGCTCTGGCTCTTTATGGACGCTTCGTGAAGCGGGCCGCCACGGCCCTTGCCTGCCTGCATTAGCGGCCTCCCCTCGAGCAATAGTCCACCATAAGTCGCCAGCTTGTCTCACAACCCCGCATACAGGCAATCTATTTGATTTGCGTTGGAGCGAAAGTGGTTGGTGACGGAGAACATGCCCATAGATACTCCGCCGAGGGAGGGGGTGGTTCATGTGCATATCCTTTCCTAAATCATGGGGAAAGAAGGAAAGCTGAGATGAGAGCTAAGGGAAACTGGATTCAAAGCGAAAGCATCATGTTGAGGTAATGAGGTAGTAAATATACAGATACAATCTAGGGAAGCGGACCTCTTATGCTAGCAGGCGTTCAAAAATCTGGAACAGGGCTAATGGCACGCCAGTAGTAGCACCTGATCTCCTTGAAGACCAGAAACTGCGTCCACAACATGTCATTTCGAGACATAGCCTGTAGGGGCTTGGGGGCACTGTCGGACTGCTCCACGCTATCTTCTTCACCCTTTTCTGCGTCCAGCCAGATCGCGCGTCAGCGCTGAAGTTCGGGATGTCGAATGGCGAGATATAGTAGGGTCGCTAACTTTCCGTGCGTTCGGGGATAGAGACCGTTGACATCAAACCCGGCCTCAAGAAATAGCTGGACTGTCTTTGGTTGCTTGCCCAGGACTGCCGACACGAGAACAGTGTCATATGCAGGATCTTCGGGGTCCAAAAACACCGCACAATGACTGAGGACTTGCTTGAAGGTGTTGACGGAGCCGCGATACGCCGCGAGACCCAGTATCTCGACCGTCTTCGATCCGTGGTCCTCACCGACAGCCGGCCAAATATTGGCGTGCCTTAGAGCCTGCCAGAACAGAGACAACTGCCCCAGCCTGCATGGCCGCTCTGGGGAAAGGTTCACGGATAAAGTATTTCAACTTCCACCTGCAGTAGAGGAGCGCGTGTCGCTTTAATAGGAGCTTGCATGCTTCCTTGTTTCCGGTAGTGAGCGAAGCATACAGCATGGTAAGTCCATGAAGTCCTCACCCCCACGATCCAATAGCTCAACCAAGAGTGTAAAACTGGTCTATGTCCACCTGGCTCTCAAGCATTTTCCGCAAAGACTCACAATTACATGTGTCCGCCATTCGCTGAAGACCCTGTGGGGAACATGTCTGGGCGAAATAGGAATAGAGGTATCAATTATGGGCGAGGTCATGGAACCGGGGATAGGTTTGCGTCAGGGCGTTGACGTCCGAGGCATATTCAAATCTGTCTAGAATCACAAGCAGCAGTTCTAAGACTCCGCATGGTTGATCTAGTCGTCGAGGCTGTTATGTGGTCTCGGTTTACTGTACACTCTACCTTTCACTGGGCAACAACAAAGCTTCTATGTACTCACTATACAGGACGCTACTGCCCGTTCTTCCTCGATTAGCACTTTGATTGTTTCTTTTCTTTAAACTTCTCTTTCCTCTATTCTTTTCTGTCATGCCTCTGTATTCTCTTCATTGGTCACTGGGAATAGAGATCCTTTCATTAATTCATTACTGTTCTGCTCGTCTAAATACAGCAACCTTTGTTGGGACAACCCTTTGGGAAAGGGCTGATGCTTATCTAAGATTTACTAAGAAATTGCTGCCTCAGGCCACAGAAGATATCTTGATCATATGATGTGATAGCAAATCCAGCTACTTTACAGGGTATACAAGTAGCAACTACTCAGTACTCAGTATATCCATGTTCATCGTTAAATTCTCAGGCTCAATCCGAGTTCTAGTCGGGCTGTTGCGTTGCGAGGGAAATGGGGCCATGATACTGTCCAAACCAAGTAACTCATAGGGTGGATCTGTACTGTACCCGTAAGGTTGAACTGATAAGTATTTTATAAAGTATTTTCGATCCTCCCCGCGGGGCATTGCCACAGCCACATCCATACTCCATATAGCACAAATCCTTCACCACTTGTCATACATCTTACCCATATCTATATCATATAGTCATCATACGACGTGAATGATAAGTGAGATCAAGTTACGGCTACTCAACGATGGCCAACCTCCCAACCCCAACCCTAGTCCTCATCCCCGGCTCCTGGCATCAACCCACCTGCTACGACCCCATCATCCAACTTCTCCAGGGCGAGTATCAGCTCAACTGCGTCTCCATCACCCTCCCCTCCACCACCGGCAACCCCAATGCAACCTTCAAGGATGACCTCGACGCCGCCCGCGCCGCCATCACCCACGAAACCGCCCAGGGCCGCAACGTGGTCGTTGTCGCCCACTCCTACGGGGGCATGGTCGGCAACAGCGCCATCAAGGGGCTTAGTGGTAGGCCATCCGACTCGCCGACCTCGGGGTCCGTGATCGGCCTCATCCTGATCGCCTCCGGATTCACCCTGACCGGACTGGCCTTCATGGACCCGTTCTTCGGCCACCCACCCCCGTCGTGGCGGGCGAACCGCGAGACCGGCTACGCGGAGCTGGTCACCCCACCACGCGAGCTCTTCTACCACGACCTCCCGCGCGAGGAGGCGGAGGTCTGGGTGTCGCAGCTGACGACGCAGAGTCTGAAGGCCCTGTTCGAGGGCGGGGAGTTTGCCTACGCCGGGTGGCAGGACGTGCCCGTCTGGTACATCGGCACCGTCGAGGATCGCGGCCTGCCCGTGGTGGCGCAGCGCATGCAGGTGGGCATGGCGCGCGCGATGGGGGCGCGCGTCGAGCACCGCGAGCTGCCGACGAGCCATTCTCCGTTTCTGAGCCAGCCCGAGGCGACGGTCGCGATCATGCTGGAGGCTGTCGAGGCGTTCGCGGGGGTGTCAGTCACGGTCAGGGATATGGCGCCGTCCACGGCGCCACGCGCCGTGATTGCCGTGCCCGGCGCTGCCTTGTGGCAGCCGGCCACCTGGTTCAAGTTCGGGATTCCGCTCGCGTTCGGGCGTCTGGTGGGCCGGTGTATTCTTCTCTTTCGGTGGGGGAGGAGCTTCTGGCGGTCTCACTAGGGGTTCAGAGACGGGGATGTGACGGGCTTACACGGCTGGAGAGAGGAAGTGTTGTTGTAGCAGTCTGAGTTACGTACAGTACATACATTATCCATTATGAGCTACCAACCGAGTATTAGTAGAATATTCCGCCCCAGAACGACTGATCCAAATAGGAGCCGGAGCTGGAATCATAAAAGGACAGAAGCGCTAAAGTAGGCAATCAACGGATCACGTTTGAACATCCTTCTCATGAGGCCACTTCCGAAACAGGTCCCCCAACTGATCAATCGGCGCCGTCAACAGTCCGACGACCGTCTCAAACGGCGGTTTACTGGGGGCACTGGGATGCGCCCGCGACGGCATGAAGATCTTGGTCCGGTTGAACGACTTGGACAGGCTGATGCTGTCGTGATCGGAGAGGACCTGCTCGAGATCGACCAGGTCGCTGTTCTCCTCCTCCCGCATCTGCGGACTCAACACTTCCATCAGGCCCTTGATCGTGGGGATGAAAGTGGGGTTGGTCGGATCCAGGGTCTGGAATTTCTTCAGATGCTCTTTGACCTAGCCGGGCTGTCAATCAGGGTCCATGGTCTCCGCGCACTCCGCGCACCAGCTGGCAGGTTACTCACGGCGCGATTCTGCTTGCGGCGTTTCTCGGCTGTCGCCGCCCCGGCCGAGAGGTGTTTCTCATAGGCAGGGTAGACGACGAGCTCTTTGCCGACGGTGTTGCGTGCCAGCGCCCAGGTGAAGAGATTCTGGAAGCGGATCTGCTCTTGTCGATCGGCCGAGCTCACGATGCGGCCATAGCAAGCTTGAATCTCATTGTGGTCCTCTCTGACCGTGTCGACGATGTGGCCGGTCATGGTATCTGAGAAAGGCCGTGGGAAGGTTCAAGTCAGACCATGTGGGATGGATGTACAGGAAGTACAGTCTGTTGAAAGGTGAAGCGATGGAGACGCAATAATACGAGGAGCAAGTGGTGATGTCATCGAGGAGAGCTGGGTTTTGGTGCCTGAGGCATCGATCCTGAATCGACAAGGCCTGTGCTTAGTAAGCGGCTTAGTAAGCGGCTCAGTAAGCGGCTCAGTAAGCTGCTTCGGTGGTTCATAGTTACTGTCATAATCTTCATGCTGGAAAGACAGCCACCTTCAAGCGCCGGAATTCCTGGATCCAGTTCCTTGGAGCTGACCGTGGCTCGGCCAGTGGCAAGTCAACCCGCCTCCAGACCTCTCGTAGCGCTTCCGTCGCAGTGACTGTCGTATTCCAGGGAATCTGCGCCGAGATGGCGTCGAGATGAGCGGCAACCCACTCTCGGTGATGGGGATCGGTAGCCTCCGCCCCGGCGACGAAAGACGACCAGATAGTGGACTTGAATAATGCGCTGGAGGGCGGAACTTGCGAGATATGGCCGATAACGGCCTGCACTAGTCCAGTCTGCCGCTCGGGTGTACAACCGCCGGGGGAGAAATTGGGCAGCATCCGTGAAAGGTAGAGAACCACGGCCGTCTTGTACGCGGATCCGATATGCAATCGCTCGGGGTAGTCATTGACTGGAGTCCAACACTGCATAGCGGTGGCCCATGCGGCTGGGTCAAACTGTTGAACGGACTCGTATAGCTCTTGGCAGGCGTCTCTGCTCGGAGTTTGGGAGTCTTCTTGTGTCTGAAATGCTAGGACAATACAGCTCGCTAGCTCGGCCGGACAAGAGAGGAAATGGTTACCCTCGGCGAAAACCAGGGAGTCAAGCACCCTCACGGTAGGATCGTTGAGTGTAGACAGATGGTGATGTCCTACGCTTGGGGAGAAGGTCGAGCCAAAGATACTCTGGCTATCGTTCCGATTAGGTGACCGTGCAGGCTTGACGGAAAAGGTGAGGACTTACATGAGAATACTGGATATGACCCACTGGTCGAACAAATTTCCCCCATTTTCTGGTCTGCCCGCCAAGGAACGGATTGAAGGACCCATAAGACTGATCAGACGTACTGCTGAATCCAGATGCAGCTGCCATGTATCCCTGCCAGACTCGAGAAGATCGAAATTGGCCAGCAACATCGAGCACACCAGCACCTGCACACACGTTGTTGGTTGGACTCGGCTGAGCATTGTCTGAAATCGGACCAGGGCACCCTGTTTCCACTGGAGTGCATCGACCAGGATGCTCTGCGCACGCTCCTTGGATGTAATGAGGTTATACCGATGATAGGCAGCCATGGCCATAATGACATGGAACATGGCGGGACAGGTCTGGGAGCGCCAGTAGAGTTCGCTGCACGGATTCCAAGTTTGCATGGGCAGGTGATAGATGACCAGATCCTCCCAGACACGGGAGTAGAAATGATTCAAGTAATGGCGAGCCTCGGAGCTGAGGTCCTGTAGGAAGGGATCCATCAGGGCTCTTTGCACATGGATACGCATTTCCGTGCTCCGGGACACGGGGGGTGTAGATGAAGACTCGAAAGACTTCCCCATCATCTTCCCTCTACTCGCAACACCTTGCACCCAGGTGATCAGTTTGCCATAGCCAAGACATTCCACCCCGGATTTCTCGCACCGGTCACACTTTGGGGCTCGAAAGTCACATTTTACCCGACGCCGGCGACAGGTGTGGCATGCACTTGGCATGGGGGTATGTTGTGGGGCGAGTTCTGGGGTGTGGAAGGGGATTTTCACGTGTGATTTGTAGGGCAACCACGAGCTCCAGCCCTGGTCAGTCAGTTTGCTGCTTGATAAGGCTGGTTGGGTGAGATAATGTGTGATGTTTTGGGAGGGATTCTCCCGATGAAAGTTCGAAAGTTCGGAGAGAGTTGTGCCACACAGCTTGAATCGATAAGTTGATGAATGTTGCGGTGGGGAATCCCGAGTCCTGCGCCTTGGCTGCCTGATCCGGTTTAGTGTGCATGCCATGCGTATGTAAATTTATAGATTCATGATAACCCTACAGTCAGTCCTCCAAGGGCGGGCAAATTCAACCCTGAAACCTGAACAATGACTTTCTCCGGCCATTGCCTCTGCCGTGCAGTAACCTACAGCGTCGACCCGGCCTCTCCTCTCGTGGTCTACTGCCACTGCGATGACTGTCAGCGCAACACCGGGTCCACATACGGTCAGTTCTGCTGCCATCATGGATCATAGCTATCCTTCTGATGACCTCCCTCCTGCAGCCCTAATCTTGACATTCCCCAAGGATACGGTGCATATCCAGGGTCCGCTTCGCACCTTCACCAATGTGGGCAGCTCAGGCCTTGCCGTGCATCGCAGCTTCTGCGGGGTCTGTGGGAGCCCGATATCCGATGTTGCGGAGAGTGCGCCCGAGGAGATCTCCATCAAGGGTGGCTCACTGGAACCGGAGTGCAAGAGACGGTTGCAGCCCGTGAGCTTCTTCTTCTTTTTCTTCCGTCACTCACTGATCGAAGACTGACTGACGTCGTATGAATACAGTCGGAAGAATTGTGGACGGCTAGTAAACTGTCCTTCTGTCAGGAACGGTTGCCACAGTCTCACTTGCATATGCCCGAATGATGGTATCTGTTGAGATTCGGCTGCAATTGGTGAGGATTCGCGTTCGTGCAAAGCAAGTGTGATTGCGTTCTTTGGAGTATTGAGGAGGCACTCCATTGGGTTTGTGATGGGTGTGTATGATGAGCCGAACTAGAGCGTTTTAGACCATCTTCCAACAAGCCAGTTTTTCTTCGTCACAATTGCTTTAGTCGATACAGGGATGCGTAGTCTTCGGGTGGGATTTTGCTTCCGTCGAGAATAAGTGGATCTTGATATTGCCCTTGGATCCGTTTCAGATGTGCTTGGTTCTGCTCGAACTCCACCTCAAGCACCCAGAGCAAAAACAGCCTTCATGGCTCCGGTTGCCCAGACGGCGAAAGCCGCTACGTAGGCTGCAGAGACCTTCTACTCAGTGTGCGCCATCGCATAGGCGCCAATTCCTTGACAGGGGGCCGCACATTTGGCCAGTGTATCCGCAAAGAACACGTCCTCAAACCAGGGGGCTGGCCAACCACTCATGCTGATGATCGAGAAAAGTTGTTGTTGTTGTTGTTGTTGTTGTTGTTGTTGTTGTTGTTTTGGGATCAAGCTCCGGAGAGATAATTCTGCCTCTTAATCCCGCCTGACATCTCGACTAATCCACTTTGGGCAGTTTTAATGCATAGTTGATGCACAGCTTATGCACAGCTTATATACTGCTTGTGCCCTAGCTGTATACTGCTTGTACACTGCTTGTGCACTGCTTGTGCAATGCTTGTGCATGGCGTGTGCATGGCTTGTGCATGGCTTGTGCATGACTTATACAGCAGTCACCACTCTCCCTGATCCACTCCAAACCTTGTCATCGCTTGGAGCTTCCTTCTATCAAAGCTATGACTCCACAGGAGAAAATCGCTGCTTTTCAATCACCCCGGTCAAAAGAGCGTTGAAGAATGTTAGAGTTAGAGAATCTGAAGACAAGAGCTGAGTGTAAGACTTGAGTGCAAAAAGAAAAGCAAACTATCATGCCCGCCAGCCACTTCCGCGAGGACACGAGGACCACCAGACAATGAGTGGACCGCGCACCCGCTCCCACCGTGGATGCTCCCACTGCCGGCGTAGCAAAGTGAAATGCGATGAGAAACAGCCGGTCTGTACGCGTTGCTTTCAGAAAGGCCTTTCCTGCACCCGAGACACCGTGACTCTGAAGTGGGAGTCGGATTATCGTGCTCGGGGGGTCACCTTCGGCCGTACGGGAGTCTGGCGCAAAGGTGCCTCGAAAAAGCCGAGCCCAGAGAATATACCATCTATACCATCTATACCATCCACGGCGGATCAGACCATCCTTGCAACCCCTGTCATCCATCACTGGAGCTTTATCCATGCGGATAGTCACAGCTTGCCGCAATTGCTCGATCACCAGGATCTTGTGCTCATGCCGGCCAGGAACGTGCATGAATTCAGTATCCAACCAGCCCTATCCATCTCACCTCTTTGGAACCACCTGGACCAAAGCTTCCTGTTGGACTACTACATCCACCAGATCTGCCCCCGGACGACCCCAAGCCCGAGCACCACTTCACCTTTCGCAGCTGTCATCCTGCCCTACTGTCAGACCGCCTCCCCAGTGGTGATCAAGGCCCTGATGGCCCTAGCAGCATGCCACTGGAGCCAGCAGGACCCACGCTACGGGGTGCACGCCCTGACGCTCAAATCGCAGGTCGTCAGTGGCTTTCGCCGCCGGATTGCGAGCGAGGATCGAGGATCCTTCCTTCTTTCCCCCGACCCCGAAGTCCTCGTCCTCATCATGCTGCTCTGCCTCTACGAGATCGTCGATCACTGCGACCGACGCTGGATTGTCCACCTGCAAGGCGCGAAGGACATCATCCGTCTCCGACGCCAGCAGCAACAGCGACAGGCCGACGCACTTCTCGCCCTCCCCACAGTTCCAAGCGACCCCGTCTCGAAATTCGTCGAGCTATTCTTCGCCTTCCAGGACGTGATGGGCCGCACCGCCTGCGCGAAGGCCGATCTGTTCGGACCCAGCTACTGGGCCGAGGGAGATGTGACCATCAACGACTGGATGGGCTGCAGTCCCGCGCTGGTGTCAATCCTGTTCGCGATCATGGACCTCAGCCGCCACCGCCGCCACATGGTGTCCTCCGCGTCGGAGGAGCTGACCTTTCGCGCGCGCGCCTCGAACCTCCAACGTCGACTCGACGATCTCGTCCAGAGCCCCGCCGTCGGGGGCGAAGACGAGACCCTCCGCCGCGTGGCCGAGCTCAAAAGACTGGCCTGCTCGGTCTATATCCAATGTGCATTACACGGGGCCCGGCCCTGCGATCCCGCTGTCAAAGTCACCGTCCAGGAAATCCTCGCGGGGCTGAGCGCGCTGGTCGCGCAGGGCTCCGCCAGCCAGGCGATGATGTGGCCGCTCTTCGTGGCGGCCGTCGAGCTGGATCCTCTCGATGACGTGGTGGTCGAGAACCCGAGTCGCAGCATGGAGGCCGAGAACAGTGGCCGTCGACGGCTGGTCCTGCGGCTGCTGATGGAGATGGCCAAGAGGAGTGTGTCGAGCGTTGCGCGAATGCGTGCGGTCATTGAGGGCGTCTGGCAACGGCGGGACTTTCACCTGCACGCTGTGGAGGATAGGAAGATGGGTCTGTTCGCCGACTTGAATGATTGGGAGGTGTTTGTTGTGCCGGGAAGTGACGCGTTGAGCCTGGTCTGAGACGCTTGGGGAGGGAGGGGGGGGG